AATTGCAATGAAATTTCATAACATTTCACTAAAGACTAAATCTGACCTCATACATTTATGTAGTGTTAAACTTCTAAATGTTTGCATAGCACTGGACTGTTAACAGTATACATTTCCATCCACTACAGGACAAAGTGATTTACTGAATCCAGTTTAAAGCATGAACCTTTTGCTTCTGATGAGTGCCCCTGCATACCTTTTGTCCTGACACAATCAGTCTGCTTGCACAGTGGCCAGTGGTGCAGTATCTGAGCACCTTCCCAGAGTTAAAATGATGACAGTACTCCCTGTCTCATTAACTCTCCTCTTCCACGCAGTGCTGCAAGCAAGTCCCTACTAGGTATGTGCCACGCGTCAAGTATTTTAATACACTGTATTTAATTTCAGTATTTACTCCTTTCGAAATGCATATAGATGGAAAGATAAACAGTGACAGAGGCTGACTGCGGTCAGGCAAGAATGATGAGCGCTCCTTGACAAAGGAGGGATGAGGAGACAAGTGAGGAGCAGTGATGAACAATAGGAAACCTTTAGCCAGCCTTCCGGTACTAATAGCTAGCTTATTCTTTGCTCCAGCACATCTTAAAGTGTGTCTCAAGAATATAATTCTCCTCATTTTATCTGTGAGGAAACTGAGGTGCAGAGAGAGAAGAAACTTCCCCCAGAATAAGCCGCTTTAGTGCTCTCCGCATTGCTCAACTTTGCTACAGCTGAGAAGTCAATAACGAGAGTTTAAATATCAACCGGTTCTACTGCAGACAGAGGAATATTACTAATATGACCCACAGTTTTCACATACCTGGCCCACCTCCTCCTTAAACTGTACTTCTTTAATGGCTTTTCTTTTCCTTTCTGTAACCTCTTTTTGCATTTTCAGCTAATATAAATGACACAGAAGTAAAACAAAGTTACTTGTCAAATAAGAGTATACAAATACTGCTAAGGCTAATTGATTACCAGGTAAGATGGCTTTGCTGAATGATGACTGCTAGTGCAGTGACATATCTGCAGCATGTTCCAGTACTAGAAGCAGAACCAAACTGAATTTTCCCACCACAATAATGAATGACCACCAGAAAAGAAGGAAGGAGCATTAAGGTGCAGAAGTGAACTGCCCTCATATCTAGCAGCCACTGCTCCATATGCTTAGACCCCTTCCTCAGTAGCACCAGCAGCAGCAAAAGTGAACCTATCTGTCCAGGATTCTGCCTTAGATAAATAGGCAGCAGGGCCATTTTGCTTCCCATTTGCCTTCTGTTCCTAAAGCCAGTCTTGCTGGATACTGCTGTGTAAGTCCTGGCTCATAATTGTAGATTGATCCTCTTAGGTATTCCTAGAGTACATTTTGGATGTGTATTCCTAGGATAGGTATGCTCCATTGCACAGCTGCCAAGTATGGTCCTTTGACTGGTCCAGGTCCATACTCAAGCTCACATTCAGAAGCATGACATGGCTTTTTTCTAGTCCTTGCTTCTGTGTTTCCCTGCTGTGGAAACCAAGGTTTGGTAGGAGACAGCCAGATGACCTGTTTATTGCTTGGTCTTACTCTAACATGGATTTGAACCCAGGAGCTGGGAAGTGCTCTCAGCTCTGGCGAACATGAGGCTGTGTCCTTTAACGGAGCATGATGCTCTCTCTGCTCACTGTTCCTCCAGCCCCTTCCTAGAATAGATGAGCAAGAAGCTCCAGACTGCAGTCATCCATTGTGCCCTGGCTCTTCTCCCCACAGGCTCACCTGAAGCTGCTCTCTCCTGGGCTGGCACAGCCGAAGAATCAGGAGCAGAAAGTGGGGTAAAGAACGTCCTGTGGAGGTTGGGCTCTGCAGGCTAAGATTAATGGGGCAAATTGTGACTGCCCTTGAACACTCGCAATATAAATCTATGTCTAATTCACCAAAGGTACGGTCTATGTTTGAAGGCATACAGGAGTTTTAAGTCCTCCTGATGAAAGGCTGCCAAAACTGTCAGGAAAGATTTTTTAAAAAATAAGCAAGACTGAAATAGCTCTCTTGCATATCTTCTTCATGGACAGTCTTCTGTTGGGCTTACCATTTTTATTAATCTTTGACTTTAGTAATAGTGTACCTGACTAAAGGCTGAGGAAGAAAATAAGAAGGACTACATACCTCCAGTTTTTATGCCATTACTTAGATTAATTTCTCACAGTCCACCTATTTTGTTTCAGCTGGCTGAGTTCAGTTCCACTAAAAGCGTGGCTTTTTGTACTAGGGAGCTTTTTCTCCTTAGAATAGTTGACTATTAAATTATTTTTTGTACTGATAGTGTGGAATATCTTACTAGTTTGCACAACTGAAGACTATCTATCTATATAACAAACAATTGTCTGTTTGTATATATAGTTGCGCGTATATATACATAAATTAGAAAGCTACAGCTCTGGATAACAGCTTTATGTGGACTTGGATTAGTAGATCTTAATCTTTTACATATAAATATAATGTGGACATTGCCATATTAAATATTTAAAACATGCTGGAAACAGCTAGTGATAAAATGAATAGTATATAGGGAAAAATACATATTACAGATTTAAGATAAAGTCATTACTTCCTGTAATTAGACATGATTACTTTGTATCTCAGGTGCCGTATGTCACACATTTTCAAAACTAGATTTATTCTTATCATATGGCTACTAAGCAAAACAAGTCAAAAATGCATGATGACTATCCAGGGATTTTATCTGCACCTACTATATTCTTACGTCAAAGCTGGCTGTAGGTCTCAAACACATTTCTCACTTACGCAATTCCAAAACAAAGTTATTTTAAGTTATTAGACATAAAAAGGAGCGTCTTATTTTCAGCCTTGAAGAATTTTAAGTCTTTAAAAAAATGAAAAATTTAAAACTTAATAAAACACATATCTAATTACTTAAAATATATAAACTATTCTGCAGACAGAAAAGGAATTCATTTTCCCATGGCACAGCAGAATAAAAATCATCTTTGAAATTAATTCACAATCAAGATTGCATTCCTGTTTAAAACACATCTTCAGAATTTTGTTTATAGTTTCAACAAAGAAACAATGTGTGTTGTTTTGAACAAAGACTCCTTAACACATAGAACCAGACAATACAGCAGATGCCACTGCCTCTTCACATTCAATTTAAATTTTGATATAAAAGATGAACTTTGATTACTATCTGTTTGTGTCAATAATCATCCTTGAGCTCTTCCTCTCAACGTCCCTTTCCCAACCGTCTTCATGAAAACAGTGGTGCTCAGTGGGTCTCTTTTAGTACTCTGGTGCTTTGTGCAACTATGAGTAGCCACTGCATAGGGCAGCATGTTCCAGTATTAGGAACCATTATTATAGGCCAGTTAGAAGAGAGAATGCTGCAGAATCCTATCCTATAAAGAGCTAGTAAATGAGAAAAATTGCACGATGCTGTGTACTCCCTCACAGATATCAGGAAGACTGAAGTAAGCAGCATTAAACTTTGTTCACTTTGGACTTAATAAATCAAATCATTGTTACTTTCCCTGTACTGTTCACCCAAAGGACACTGGAAAGAAAATGTTGTTACAGTACGTGGTCGGACATTTCTCCAAAATACAATCTAAATTCTGTTCTGTCCCACTCCAAACCTTACTTTGGACAGTGGCAGATACCACAATTTGGCCTAAA